CGGGCTTGCCGAGGGGCGACGGGCCCGTTGCTCACCCTGTGCCTGCTGGCTTTGCTTCACTGGGGGCTCTTCGGTAGGCCTGATGAGGGTGAACACGTTGTTTAGTCCGGGTCTTGCCTTTAAACAGCTCATTAGGAGCCTACTTTGTACTGCTTGCTCTGCTCAAAACCGAAATGAGACATTTTTTTTCTCCCTAGTACACATTTGCTTGCTGAGGAGCTGATAATGCTGATGTTAGCGTTATCAGAACGTTTTTCTCACACAAATATATAGAGAGCATTTCTGAGGCCTGCATTATGTTGCTATAATGCTTTTTTCTTCTGCTTCTTTTTTTTGTTATGCAGCTTGGGTTTTGTGTGTTTCTCACATGTTATCTACTTCCTTCCCTGGGGTTTCTACCTCCCACACCCTTCTTTCCACCATGGGCGAGTGGGGGGAATGTGCAATGCATTTATTTATATAGTGTTTCTCAAACCAGAAAGCACTCATTTAATCGACAGCCTTAGCCAGTGCTACTGGGGATGTGCTTATAGGCTGTCAATGATATTTCGGGAAAGTAACTTAATGTTTTCTCTAGAGGTAAGTTCTGTGGTTTGGGGTTAATTTTCATATATGCAGTAGGAAGTTGAAATTTAAAGTTGTGTTACTGGAGTTCAGATTAGCTATCAAGCACAGTTGTAAGATCTTAGTAGGTAATGTTACAATCCAGCAGGGCATGTCCCAAGGTGTAGAAAAGATACATACAAGTTCTGTGAAACCAGAAAGGTGTACCCAGACTTTGAATAGCATGTTCTCACTGATAGGGAGTATAAAGAAAAAAGCTAAGGTGAGATGAGACTCTTCATCTTAGATCAACTGTCTGTTGTGTACGTGGAAGTTAAGTGACAAGATTAAGGGCTGTTCCAGTGTGCGTCTGTGGCTGTGCTAACGTGCAACTCTTCTGTACTGACTACTTGTCCACTAACACTGACTTGTCTTTGTGAATATGAAGTTCTGATGACATAATTCAGCCTTTAAAAACTATGTGTTTGGACTCAATTGAACTAATACAATTTGTAGGCCAACGAAATCACATGGTGGTACATGAAGGATTAGGAGCTCTTGCCCAACTTAAATTGCTACTGTGAAGTAAAACTCTTCGTTAATATCCAGAATTAATTAGGAGAGGGTGTTTGTAGTCCAGCTTTTGGCAGCAGATTATAACAGGAAGACCTTTCTTGCTCCAATTTTTATCAAAAATCATTCTGAAAGAAAATAAGTCGTCATCGCTTCATGGATGTTTTTATTTCCTGCAGTAACAGTACCACTTTCTCTAGTAGAGTCTGGTAAAAGCTTAGAGACTGTGCGTCAAATGCTTCCATAAATACTTGTTCATTCATAATGTCTGGTCTGGAAACAGTTATCTGGAATGTGAGTACATTGAAGGGAGGGGTTTTAAGAAGGATGAGTAAAAATGGTTCAAATATTACATTTCCTGACTTCAGAAGTTGTTTTTAATGAGGATTCTTTTAGTAGTGAGTCTTTTAACTATAGCTTTAAATCCTAACTCAATAGTCATAAACTTTGCTTAAATCAATTTATTGGAAACTTGAGCTGAATGCAGGAAAACTCAGGCCTAAAGAAATGAGTGCTATTTTTTTAAAGATACAATATTAATACAGATTATGAAGAAGGTGAACATTGAGGGCTAGGAAAAGAATATTAAGGAGTCTGTGGAGAATTTGCAAAAGCAGCTAAAAAAGTGGTAACTGTGTGTATTCCAGCCAAAGCTGGCAGTCTTCTGCTTGTCGGCAGCAGTGATGGCCGCCTTCTTCTATTGGTCATACATCAAGAATGATGAAAAAAATCTTCTCTTATTCTTTTCTGACTGCCGATATTGTTTGATTCTTGGATTATTTCCCCCCCCCCCCCCCTTGTCTTCTCCCCCCCCTTGTTTGCAGACTAAGAGGTAGAAATTCTCACTTTCTACCTGAAGAGAGGAAGTGATTCTGACTATCCTGCACCTTCCATGGCTAACTTCAGTGTTAGGCAGAGGTTTTCATACTGTCTCATTAATTGGTGGGACAAATAAGCAGAGTCATATACTTGTAGGAAACTTCTGTACCTATTCTCTCAAAAGACAGAGCTCTATGGCTTTCCCTGACCCTTCTGATTTTACTTACCTAACTGAAAAACATTCACTAAACTTGTTGCCTTGTTGCCCTACAGAGGAACTACTGGAGAGTAAGTTTTATAAACAATTAACCAGCAATTGCAAGCAGACTGAAAAAAGATTCATATGCAGAGTGAGGGTTGACCTATATCTTAATCTTGTAGTTGCACTAAAATGAATACGCTGCACAGATTGTATGAGAACAATTTACTTGCTGCTGAGGACATTTTGAAACTGGTCTTGCTGAATAGATGCCACTTAAGGATTTTGCTTAAGTCACTGCATGTTTTAGAGGTTCATGTAATGGAAATAGCATCTATGCTATGGAGTCTATTTCTGTGCTGAATTTAACAGTTGAAAAATTGATGAGAAGCAATCTGAGGTAACTTTTTTCTTAAGATTTCCTTTTTTTTTTCCTGCAAGAATAGGATAAACAGGGTTTGCGTTCTCTTTCAAAGTCTAACTAGTCACTTGCACAAAAATGGCATTGAAAGAAATAACTAAAAATACTACAGAAAATATCTGATCAATGCTATAAAGCAGTCATTGCCAAACCTTTTTTGTTCATGCACACCTCTCAGTAAAAATTTTTTTAAGCATGGATCTTCAATGTTTAACATACAAAAAAAAAATGTATGTAGTACTGTACTAACATATTATGTATGTCATGAAACAGGCACAAAACCAGAAATGAAAAAAGAATGAGATAAAGGTGAAATAAACACTGTATTAAGAGAAGTTTTATTTATTAATGGTACAAAAAGTATTGTCTTCTTGTACCCCCAGTGGGTTGCCTAGCACGCTCCCTGGGATGTACACACCCCACTTTGGAGATCGCTGCTCTAAAGCATGCAAACTCTTACTCATTACTTTGTTGTGATAGTGTTTGAAGCTTGAAGAGCTTGGCAAAAACTGGAAGGCAACTGACTGCAGTGATCAGTTAGGGCATTCATCAGAGCTTTGGGAGATTGCCAGCTGCTTGCACTTGCTGAATTTTTGGCTATTTCCTGGAGGTAAGTGACCATTCTAACATTGAAACTAATAGTATTTCTTGTCTGGTAGTACCAGTCCTTTAGCTTTACAGACTGTCACTTAATTTGGTTTTTTTAATACAGCAAAACTTTGGAACTGTTGGAGTCCCTCAAGCTAATGACATTCTTCTTGCTGAATCACACTGCATAGCTCTTCTTGTTTCTACCACTCTCTCCATAGTGCTTTCTTGAAAATGGTAGTTCTCACAAAATGGTAGAGTCTTTATCCAGCATATGGTAGGATCTTTTTATCTAGTATAGACTGCCAGAGTAATTTTGCTATATTTAAATAGACTGATTGAACATTAGTCTTTCTAGTTGAGGAAAAATGATTATATTTTAAAGCTGATTTTAATTGTATATGAAGTGGTGAATGGTTGAAACAAGTGTTTAGCTCTCTGAAGTGCTCTAGAGACCTAGCTGGGCATGAGAGCACCGAGCAGTGTCTACAGCTCGGCACTGTTTGTGAGTCAAGCATTCTGTACAAAGCTGTCAGCTGCCTGTTTCAGCCACAAGTATTTTTGCCTTCTTTTAATATATCATTGCATCTCCCTAATTTGTTTAAGAAATGGTAGGATTAATTTCCAATTGTCCTTTTCAGAAGAGGTTTACAGAATTAGGCAGCCTTGGTAGCAGGCCCAAATTTAAAAAAAAGAAGTCAGTTACTTTTTTTAATTTAACTGTGGAAAAACAAACTAAACTATCAGCTTTAATCTCTGAAGCAGCTGCACAAACATAACATCTGTGACTTTGTTCAGTAGTTAAGCCTTGACTAATAAGCTGTTCTTAGGTCAAACTGTGACCTTCCATAGATCTTTCATTAACACTTTCAGAATAGTTTTCTTAACTATTTCTTAGAAGTAGACACACTTGTATGAGTAGCGGGTGCATATTAGTCAGCGGTTCTGTGAAATAACAAGGCTGTAAGTGATCCCTCTTCTAGGCACGTTATCCGTCATCACTGCAACCCCATCTGCCTAACTTAGAAGGAAGTCCCAGAGCTAAGAACAGTTAAACTAGTATTTTTGTTGTTACTTTAGTGCTGTTTTGGAACCACTGTTTTGAAAACAATTATTCAAGTACAATTTCTTAATAATGAAGCTGGTTCCTTCAGAGATAATTTAAATGATGCGATAGAAACAAAATAGGTTTATTGACTTTCAAGGAAGAAGAGCAAACATTTAATGAGCTCTGCCTTATGTTTGTTACTTGCCTTTCAACTTAGTAAACCTTTTTATTTGCATATGAAATGACAATAAAATTGTTCTTTGATATGTGTACATAGATAGTATACCATACACAAAGACCTTGTGTGGTCTTTTGTTGTAAAGTCAACCTTCCAGAAATTGAATTCAGTTACTAAAGCCTTTACCAAAAAGCTAGAATGGTCTAGTGCTGTCAGGCAGGTAGACTGATTTTGAGCAGACAAAAACAAACACCCTAGCTAGTATAGATGTTAAAAATAACATGATGTTACTGCAGAAACAGGTACTGTGTAAGTACGTTGTTTACATTAATAGCAACATACAAGCTAGTGGGTAGGTTAACCATGTCTGAGTTTTCCCTCGTTCTAGAAGCATGTATGAGTCTCTTGACAAGCTCTAGACTTTGAAGTTGTAAGGGTGGCATTTGGTTTTAGAATCATAGCATGGTTTGGTTGGAAGGGACCTTAAAGATCATCTGTTTCCAACCCCCCTGCCATGGGCAGGGGAACCTTCCACTAAACCAGGTTGCTCAAAGCCCCATTCAGCCTGGCCTTGAACACTTCCAGGGATGAGGCATCCACAACTTCTCTGGGCAACCTGTTCCAGGGCCTCACCACCCTCACAGTCAGGAATTTCTTCCTAATATGTAATCGAAATCTTCCCTCTTCCAGTTTAAAGCCCTTGCCCTATCACTACCTGCCCTTGTAAAAAGTCCCTCCCCAGCTTTCTTGTAGGCCCCTCTTCAGTACTGGAAGGCTGCTATAAGGTCTCCCCAGAGCCTTCTCTTCTTCAGGCTGAACAACCCTGACTCTCTCAGCCTGTCTTCATAGGAGAGGTGCTCCAGCCCTCTGATCATCTTCATGGCCCTTCTCTAGACTCGCGCCAACAGATCCATGTCCTTCTTGTGTTGGGGGGCCCCAGAGCTGAAGGCAGTACTGCAGGTGGGGTCTCACCAGAGCGGAGTAGAAGGGGAGACTCACCTCCCTCAACCTGCTGGCCACACTTCTTTTGACGCAGCCCAGAATATGTTTGGCTTTCTGGGCTGTAAGCACACATTGCTGGGTCATGTTGAGCTTATTATCTTAATTTTAGATCAAAATTATTTAGTAGAATGTAATTTGTGGGATATATGGTAAATTCAGATTTGTTTCCTAGTTCAAAATAGGAAGGACCGACAAGTATCCTAAATGCATACTTACTTTTGCTGTATTTAAAAACCAACTGTTATATGGTGATCTGAATTGTGGAAGTTCAGTGGTAGAACTTCTGATGACTTGTCTCAGTCAGCCTTATCTATTAGATTCCTCAAGCTGATAAGCACTGTGGTCTCTGCCAAAAATGCAGCTAGCCTTGTTTTTTCCTTATGCCTCTTCTGTTTTTTTTTCCAAATTGATGTTTGTTCTTATGCTGTCTTTGTTGCTACTTGCAGGATCTGTTTCATCTCAAGTGCTCTTTGGTGTCTCCACTAGTTTTTCTAAAGGACCCTACATGCTTTCATTTTTGGACCTATAGAGTACAACTGCTTACCCACATTGACTGTTCTAGATCCTTTTTAATCCTATGTTTGCTGGCAGTCAGAGTTTGAGCTTTACATCCTCTTCAGTATGCTCAATGGACTATCATCTATTTGTCTCAGTTGCACTGTCAAACTTCTTGTCACTTTAGTTTTACAGCTTCACTTACAAGTCTCAGAATTTTTTCTTGATTTTTTTCATTATGCTGTTACAGCTTAAAGTTGATCCTCATCTTTTTACTTGTTCTAATCAAAGATTATACTTCAAATAACAATGTGGAGATTGCTTTCCGGAATCTGGCTTCCAAGATTAGCCCTTTCACTGCAAATACCCACAGTTGCTCTTTTATAGTAATAGTCTTCAAAACATGAACTGATAAAGTGTTGTGTTTTTAGTTTGTCACTTCAGAGATGATTTATCTCTGGTAAGACACTTTATTTGCATGAGGATGAAAAGTATACAAGTTTTGTTTGCTGCCAAATACTTACAGAAAGTCAGCAAAATTCTATAAACTTTTGGAGAGTTTTGTTGGCATTCAGTATTTGTGCAGGTAGTCTCTAATAGCTAACCATAACGTACTAAATGGTGTGTCTCATGTACAGGGCACTAACTTCTATCAGTTTAGGTACCTTTTCTAGTCACAGTGCAGGTCTCCAGCCTGTCAATGCCTTACACTGCTATAGGGCATTACACACCCCGGAGTCTCAGAAGGGGGGGGGATTTCTAAATGTAGTAGGAGTTAGTGGCAGCTTTGCTTAGTCATCTGTTTATGTTTTGAGCTTTTATTTCAGTTTAAGTGAGTTGTGTACCTGAGAGAGGGAGGCTTGCAGCATCTTTCAAATGTGGGTGTTTTTTGTTCACCTAAATGACGTTGTATCAGATGCTGATGACTGGGAAAAGTCACATTTCAGCTGTGATAATTTTAGAGGCTTTCAGTTGAGATGATAGTACAAACCAAGTTGTTCGAAGCACAGTGAGTAGCCCATTTAAGTTACAGGAACAAAGAAAATAAGAGATACAATTCTGCAAAACAAAGGTAAAACTATGATAAATAAGCTTTTCTGATTATCTTCTTGCTCCTTTTCACCTCTGTTCCTTTAGGTCTTTAATAACCTTTCTTCTTTACCATTTCTTCTCTTTCTAGTCTTTCTAATCAAATATAATCTCATAGCCCATTCAGATAAGAAAGATGACTGTTAAACGAGGCTTGCAGCTCTTGATCAGTATCTTAAAGACAAACTGATTTCTCGCACTTTTGAAGAGAGACCTCCATATAGAGGTTTGAATATGCTGGTCAGGCAAAATTAATTGGCATTCTATAAAGAACAATGTTTAATTGTAAGTGGGGTGGTATTAATGTAGCTTTCTAGTAGCTACTGAAGCTGTTTATACTAAAGCTGATGTGGTGACTAAAAACCTTAGGTTCCATAGGGCCTTTTTGCTTGATGCATACCTTTTTAAGTAGTTTAGTTGGACTGGAACAATTCAGACTGTATAGTAATCTAGAGAATTGATTTGGGTTTTTTAAAAAAAAATAAAAAATTCCACACTTTTTTCCAGTATTGGACACACAGTTGTGTTGGCATCATTTAAGGAAGAGGAGGATCATCTGTGAAACATTTGGTTCTTCCTGACAACACTAGCAAGGTCTTTCTGAAGTTCATTAGACAACTTAGTACACTAGAATATTTCAGGAGCATGGTACAATATTATAGCTAAACTTATTTTTATTTTTGAGAAAGTTACTCATGGAAAAGTTTTTTTACTGACTTAAACATTTCTTCTAGATGAAGAGGGAAATCAAGATGAATCACTGGAATCAAAGGTGAGGAAATAAGTTTCTAGTAATCCTGTTTTTCTTGTGGAGTGAGAGCGAAGGTCTGAAATTCACAACTATGATTTGATTCCTGTTTTAAACTGTTCTGTAGCTCTTGCTGTCTCATTAATTTCTTCAGTGCGTCAGAGGAATTAATGTTGTGTTATATGTTTGAAATTTTTTTTCTAAGAACTGAAAGAGATTGAGTCAACGAGAGCTGATAGAGGTAGCTCAACTTTTGATACTACTGTTTAAACTTAGTATGTTAATTAAAAATATCTTTAAAAAGTAATGCCTTTTTTGCCAACTGCTGCTGTTCAGTTTCTAATCTTCTAAATTATATGACTGCTTTCTGTCAGACTTTATCTGCAGAGGACCAAGTAAAGGACCATTCCACAGGAACTCGAGTGGTAGCAGGTCAGATCTTCCTTGAATCAGGGAAATCAGACTCTCAATCGGAGGATGAAGAGAACTTTCACAGTCAAGAGGAGGGAAAAGAGAATTTGCTGGAAGAGTTGAATTCTATAGAAATGTCAAATCTATTAAATAAGAATTTGGAAGAAGCGGAAATACAGAGTCCAGGTAACTGCTCACAGACTGACTTTTGAACAAGTGGCAAGAAAGATGCATCTGAGTAACTTTGGCATGTGGATGAACACAAATAGTAATTTTGAACATACGAAATAACTAGTGTTTTAACCTTTCTGGAATGGAATGGTAATTGCTGCCTTTTCCTTCAGAAAGTAGCATGAAAAAGTGTTCAAATATATTGTGATTGAAATCGAAGTGGTTATTTTCAGGTGCATTTGAAAGGGTTTTCTGTAATTCTTGTTGTTTCCATCTTGTTGGAAAGCTTTAGCTATCAAATGGAGAAGGTCGTAATTTCTTCACATAGGAATTAAGTACACGTACTACGCTTTGTGTGTGTATACCAGCCCTAGAAGGAGAAATTGCATCAGTGATTCAGCCTGCTGGCTGTTTGCCTAGAGGGACAGTTGACAGAGAAGGAACAAATTGTGACACACTTCCTTGTATGGCATTGAATGGCAACACCTAAATTGCATGTAAACTTCAGTAAGTTTTTTAATATAGATAAAAACTTGTGTCCTTGTGGCTCAATTCCCATGAAATTCTAATATTTCATTTTTACTACTAATAAAAGTATAAATTTAATATGATTTTTTGACTTGCACTTCATGGTGTATGGTAACTAGATGGTACAGTTGAGTACCTTAGTGTATGCAGCAAAAACTTTTCCTTTTCACTTGTCCATAAAAAGTAAATCTTCAACTTTAATGAAAAAATATAGTTACATGGTAATTGTATTTGGTATTTGTCTATCTTCTCAACTCAGATTCGAATGTCAAAAGAAAGCAGGGGTTATGAAATGAGTTCCGTTATATAGCTTTGTGTTTTCTAATAAGCCTTCCTCATTAATGCAGCACTAGTATACAGTTTGTATGCTCAGTAATAGGATTAACTGTTGTCGATAGGTGTCATGTTTTACAGGAAAAAAGTATATAAAATCCACTTAGTAGCTTGCTGCTGCAAAACAGTGAGCTAAGCACCACATTTAGTCAGTGCAGTCTATTTCAATAGTAACCTTTAAGATACTTTTATTCCCACATCAGAAAGATGTAACTGGATGGCTTGCTTCCTGGCAACTAAGGTTTTTAACTACACCTGTCAAAGTACTGCAAGTGACTTTCAGAAACCATAAATTTAAGTCTTGCACAGCTTTTGGAACCTCTTACAAAGTTAATAAGCAATGTGCATGGAAAGATTACTGGTTTTATCTAAAAAGCAATCCTGAAGGAAAAGTACTTGTATTCTGACAGGGAAAAAAACTGCTAAAGGACAGGTTTACTGGCAGACTTTTTAACTGAGCAGGAATCAAATCTACCTCAGGTACAGGTGCTACATCTCTTAAATGAGCTGCTGATGACAGGACTGCGTTAAGGGAGATTAAAGCTTTTCTAAATACATTTTGGCTCTTGTGTATGGTCATGAGATTGCATGGAAAAAAAAAAATTCCTCAAGTTTCCACATGTATCTTGCAGGATATTGAGCAGGAAAAAAAATACATCTTCAGTAATTTAGAATTGGCAGTACTAAGACTTTTAACCTTCTAAGAAAGAAGTTATCCTCTCTTCTGATTAGTGAGGAGGTCTGGTCTGTTAAGAAAACAGTATTTTTCTAGTTATTTATCTTGTGTTGTATGTTTTTGTAGCAATAGTTACATACTAACAGTTTTTGCTAAAAACTGCCCATGAGTTTATACAGAGCTGGCAATTCCTGCTTTTTTTTCTGCATTTGTTTAGCTATTTGGAGGAATCTTACAGTAATGTAGCCAGTATTTATAAGTAATCTAAATTTGTGTTTCCTGCAGCATAAAGTATGAGATGAGATTTATAAGTAAATAAGGACAAAATATAATGATAAAATACTATATACTTTATTCAAACATAGTAAAACAGGTAAATTGCTAGTTGCACACTCAGTTTGACAAAAGTAATTTATCTTCCGAGTGAACTATTTGCCTCAGTTTGTATTTAACATCCTTTAAGTACATGATAGAATAACTGTGAGCGTTTTATCCTGTGAGCGTGTTGCTGTGTTGCCTTAGGGGTTAGTATTTGTTACTATCTAGGGGGAAAAACAGCATTATGGTTAAATTTAGAATTAAAAAAAGGCAAGGGGGAGGACTGGTGCAGAGTAATTTCATAAATTCAGTGTACAATAATTCTCACGCGGAGCACTGTGGAAATGGTTCATGTCCGATTGCTTTCAGCACAGGAGGCAAGGTACTAAACAATACAAGTAAAACTTAAAGTTCTCAAGTATTGTTGATATCCTGGACCTGGAGTTTGTTCAAATGACAGTGATAAGAGGTCCCCCATCAGTTGTAGTTATAGGTACCCTTAGGATGAGTTCGTACATTACTCTGTGGTTAACAGATGTCTAAAATGATTCCAGGCTAATTGCATCTGGACACATTATTTTTGAATGCAACTTCTGAAAATAACATTTTTCCTTGTGTGTTATGGAGTAATTAACTTGGAGTGATGTGGTGGAGCATCTGCCAAGGAATCAAATTATGAAGAGTGATTTGAACAGCCTAACTAATCCTGGAGACTTCCTTTTGCTGCAAAACGTGAAATTTTTTAGTTAGTATGATCCCTAGGCCTTACAATATAGACCCTAGGAAAAAGAACTAGCTTTTTCTATAACCACAAGAATTACAAACTTAACTTGAAAAAACATTGTATAATTAACATTCTCAGTTGCCTAACTTTGCAAATGTCTTCAAATGAAGCTGAACCCAACTGCTGGATTTAGCTTAGTAAAAGAGAAAAACCTTTATAAAAGGCTAATTGAAATGATTTCATTTTCAAAAAATGAAGATAGTTCTTAGTCTTCATAGAAGATTGATTTTATTTAAAAATATTGGAATTGGTAACCTTTGAAGTTCTAGTGCATGAGAAATGATAAATCGTGCTGTTCAAAATAATTTTGAATGCAACTTAATATATTGGCGAAGTGAAATAAGGTTTTCAATATAGGTGTATGTAACAATAGAAAATTACTAGACTCATAGCGATTCAGTCATGATTATGTCTAACCCTGCGGCTAAAATGAATATATGTACTGGAATGCACTTCAAGGGTAGTCTTTTGCATGAGGAAGGGAGTGCAGAGAAGATAAAATGAAAGGAAGGGCTGTTTATTTTCATAGGCAATAAAAATGTAACTGATATTTGCCTTCTCCAAAATAATTTCTTTGCTTAGAACTTAGAAATATAAGAAACCACATACCTTCCATTTCATTTCCTAATTAAGAATGATATTTTTTCAAATGCTCTTTAGAAAAATAATTGCTTTTTCAGGCTTTTGTAAATTAGAAATTTTACTGAAAACTTGATTAAATGCCTTTCATAGAAATTAAAACCAACTTAGAATTGCTTTCCTATATGTAGTAGATTAATTTGTGGAGTAAAGGAAAGCAGTGTAATTCCTGGATATGTATTTTCAGTTTTGACAGCTATTGGAGGCACTGCAGATGGTGAACCTTGCCACTTTCCCTTTTTGTTTATGGAGAAGGAGTATGCAGAATGCACTGCAGACGGGAGGGAAGATGGCAGGCTTTGGTGTGCAACTACCTATGATTATAAGAAAGATCAAAAGTGGGGTTTCTGTGAAAGTAAGTAACCTGATGTCTAGTTTTTGTCCAAGAAATGCTTTCTTAAGCTAGTGTTTTCAGTCCTCTTAATGCCCTTTATTTCAGAGTCTAGAGGTCACTGTCATTATTAATGGCCACTTTATACTGTGATATACACAAGTAATTATGAAGGCAATGTTCTCATGATGGAAAAGATTATAATGCAAATGGGATTTGGGAAATCGTGCAGTGGAGGTGTCTATAAAACCCTTAGTTTCTGAGACTGTAGCAGTATAGGGGTTTGACAGTGTTTCCCATTATACTCTCTGATTTGTTACACAAAGGCAACCTTTCTCTAGGAGACATCCTCCTGAAGGAGGAACCTTTCTTCCTTGCACAGCTTGCTTTGGAGCAACGAGAAGAATACTTTAACAGCAAACTCATACATGAGAGACATCATGTGAGAAGAAACTGTCTACCAACACCTCCTTTAGACAGTTTTTTGTAGTCACTTTGATTGTTTATTGGTCTTCAGAAACATATTTCTGGCTGTATTTTCCCTTTAGAATCAATAGGAATTTTGAGAGGATAGTCTTGAGCTGTGTAATTGGAGCTCTTAATGTACTCTTTTCTTTTTTTAGCTGAAGAGCAGTCTAATAAGAGAAGGCAGATGCAAGAAGCTGAGGATGTTTATCAGACTGGAATGAAAATCCTTAATGAAAGCAGTAAAAAGGCTCAGAAGAAAGAGTAAGTCTACTTCCTTCACGCCGACAAGAGAAGCATGACATGGCTGGTCACACTGGCTTAGCTGAAAAATAACTTAAATTATATGCCCTGGGATTTTGCACTTTATTGGACTTGACATCAAAGTATGCAATGATAGTACTGAAAATAAATAGCAATTTCAGGGTATTTAGGAAAACAAATTTATGGCTACTTTCCTCTGAATCCACTAAAATTATATAAGATTAATTTCTGAAGAGTGGATGTCATCAAAACATTGACATAATGCAAGATGGTGCTGCAGTTCTCTAGCCACAATTTGTGTGGCAACTGCCCATAAAAAAAACTGAGAACGTGATACAAGATAATTGTCCTTTTTAAAATGTTTCTTACAGTCTGGTTCTCATTCTGCTTCAAAGATTAAGTGGGAAAAATCAGTATGTCTTGTCCTGCTCTGTTTTTGTTCCTGCTTTCTGATGTTTTCACTCACCATAAAATTAGTATTAAACTTAATCTCCACAAATTGTTAAAACTTTAATAATTAACATCCTATGAGAGAAGAGAATGCTTGTAGACCAAACTAAAAAAAAAAAGAATGAAATTAGTGTTCTGTTCATTCTGGTCTGTATACTTTCTACTCTATATATCCAGTTACTGATGAAATAGTTCTCAGCTTACCGCTATAATTAGGAATAGCTCTGTTAATTTGGAACTCCCTGGTACTCATGTTGACAACTTCATCAGTAAGTGGTGACTTTAGCCTGCTGTTTATTATGTGAGCACTATTACCACATTCAGCTTATTTGTGGAGATAAGGGAGTATATTTCTACTTTATCAGGGAAGCTGAAGCACAGCTAGAGGTTGTCCATCACACCTTGGCAAAGAGAAAGGGAGAGAGCATCTGTTTGACTAGTATTCTTTTGCATAAAATAGTGTGGGAATTGTAAAATTTTAATAGATCTTGTTTCTCTTGAACACCTTACACTTTCTTAAAAGATGAAATTATTTGAGGAACTAGGTGTGCCTCAGCCTGTCCTAAAGAAAGAAAACAAATTTGAGAATGGAAAGGAGGAGAGGTAAAGAAAAATCTTGAAATGCTATTAAAGGTCCATGAGAAAGGAAGTTGAAGCATGCTTGACAATACTGTGTTATCACGTTTAAGGTTACGGTTTTTTTAATTGCTGTGAAACTAGCTGCTGTGAAATTACTTTGGAGGACTACTGTAAGTTCTGAGGCTGAAATAGAAAGGGGAGTTTCTAGGGAACTTTCTCCTTGTTAGCATGGCTGTTTCATCACAAAATTGATCATGTATGCAGTTGCCTTGGACCCAACACTTAGTGTTTTCATTGGAATGATTTTGTACTCAACAAATCAAAGAGACTCCATAGTCTTTTTCAGGCTGCTTTTTTCTATCATGATCTGTGGAGCTGTTAGAGTAGGAGTCCTACTAGATACCTAGTACAGGACTTAAAATTGTTGCTACAAAAACATGATCATTTGACCTTAAACTTTTCATATATCTTACGGGGAAGGAAATACCTGCTACTTTGCATATGAAGTAGAGTGAACACTAAAATCCAGTTTGTCTATTAGCTAAATTATGTGTGTTGTTGCATAGATTGACGATTTGGAGGTGGAACAAATGACTGTAGGTAGCCTCTGTTTTCTACAAATGCTTCTAAAACAGAGGAACAGAACATCTCCTTGGAATCTTCATGTTTATGAATGGAATCTGATTCTTTGCCTCAAGGTGACTAAGAAATTGTTTTCTTTTAAGAGCATATCAGTATCTTCTGAGAGCAGCTGACATGAATCATACCAAGGCAATGGAGAAAGTGTCTTACGCTTTGTTGTTTGGGGATTACCTGAAGCAGAACATCCAGTCATCAAAAGAGCTATTTGAAAAACTAACAGAAGAAGGTTCTCCTAAAGGACAAATGGTATGTATGTCCTTAGATTCTACAGAAGTTTTTATAGGTTTATAAGTTTTTACAGATTATACTTATTCTAAGGTGGTTTTACAGCTTATTCCTGTGTCTAGAATAGAATGAGAACAGTAAGTGGCATCTGTTGCCTGCTTAAAAAGGACAGCAGATGGAGTGCTGCTTTTTTAAATTGTTTGAAAACTTGATTTAAAACATTTGGTTCAGGCTCTGATTCACGAAATGTATTTTACGAATGCTTGCCTAAGCATTTCCTAACCCTGACTACTCATTGCCTTTACTTTTTCGAATTTTACCAGTGCCTTGCTTTGGTTCAAAGATTGTCCCCCAAATGCTTCTGCTTTACCTGGCTTCTGCATGCTGCTAACATTACTGAGGGTGCAGTAACAAATGGCACCTGCACCCTCAAGGTAAACACATGGGAACAGGTCTTCTCTTTGAATTTTAAAAAACAGCATTAAACTACCAGTAATACAGTGTGATGGTCTTTTCATTTAATTTCATACCTGTTGTATGACTGACTAGATTGGATGTATAAGTCAAAAAATGAGTAGATGCAGATGACTCCAGCCAATAAATCTCCGAAACTCTGTGTTACTTTTTTCCTGTGGTTTGTGTGGGATGTTGTGGCTTCTCAGCTGCAGTTTTATCTTTGAGATAGGTAGATATACACACGCACAAGTTTATAATCTTAGGAGGTTATAAACTACTAGGAATCTTGAAAGCTCTGTAGTGGAATGGGACTCACTTTGTCCGTGTGCCTTTGAACATTATAGAATTGTTTGTGTGTAATTATTCATATATAATGTCATAAAATGTGGGTGTTGTCAATTTTAATGTCTCAATATCTGCGTATACTTAATGTTTAGTTCTCTCTCTTTTTTTGGAAGTTTCAGCTTCTTTAGGAATTACCCAGTTTCTTTTAGCTCTTTGGCTGCCAAGTCTCCTTCTGTTCCCTGTTTAGTGTTGGAGTGCTGATTTACCATAGAGAGCAGGAACATGTTTTCTCTAGAGACTCAATGAAGACCTTGACTGTTATTGGTCTAGAATTCAATACTGTCTGCATGAGGTGAATTTTTGTGTGTGTGTGCTTTCGGAATTGCCTAGAACCGTCTTAGGACACTGTGAAATATAGACACCTTTATATATACACTGTTATCTTCTGTGCTACTAGTTTCTCCTCTGAGCCACACAGCTGTAACAGGTGTTATAGATAGAGCAGTAATTATGTAAATTTTAAGAATAAAAATAACTTTTGAAAAAACCTCAGACAGCTCTGTGCATTCTAACTCCTTACATTTGTAGTCATAAATGCAACTAACCCATGGCAGAACGGAAGTAAAACAGTAAATTCAGAGGATCTGTTACACAGTAAATCAAATGGACTCTTCTAGAGCCTCTCAAAAAGTCTCTTCTAGAGAAGGTCATGGTTCATGTATGTTTGTGCTGTTATATGAAAGAAATAGGATACATGAATAACCTGATCTTCACTTGAGGGTCTTTAAGCTGGGATACTCTTACTGTTCAGGACCTTTGGATCTACGCTTGGCATTCAGGGAAGTAGTAGTTTCTTCCTTGCGTTCGATCCACTAGACTGAATTCTGGTGAGATGTATTTATGTTAGTGTCCTAGGCAACTGAATGATTTAGAAACTCCATACTTTAAAAGAGGCAGGGAAGGGCCTAGACATCAGAGGTACCAAAGTCAACGTAGAGCTTGGCATATTCTTTGCAGGTTTGAATTGTTGTTTGACTTCTTTATACTTAATGTATCCCAGGAAAACTGATCCTGGGTTTTTCAAAGAATGTGCTGACAAACTTTATTTTATTTCTAGGCTCTTGGATTTCTATATGCGTCTGGTCTAGGAGTCAATTCTAGTCAAGCTAAGGTAACTTAGAAATCTTGTATGATGTGTGTACTCTTGTATTTTATCTTGAAGGCAGATGATTGTTAACCAATGATTTTGTTTTAAGGCCCTGGTGTATTACACTTTTGGAGCATTAGGAGGAAATCTGATTGCCCATATGATCTTGGTAAGTAAGATACTTAATAACTTTGCACATGCAAGAACTTTTTTGTACTCTTAAATTTTTCATGTAAGATTTGCATTCATGTGAGTACACTGTGCAAATATTAGGTCATCATGCATGCATTCGATGGGCAATAGTATCTTCCCCATTGTTCCTTGTTAACTTAAGGAAAAGTCTGCTCATTTTAAGCTGTATACCACTATGAATTTGGATGGCCCATGTTTACATCTCTTGACATAAAGCAGAAGTGTCAGACTTTTAATTTTTATAGGCCAATGAGAACTGTGAAAGCCAGAGATCTTTACGGAAGATACTGTTTTGATCAGTATTGTCAAATTTAAGACAAAGTGCAACATGTGTAAGTAAAAGGTTTTAGACTTTCACCCAGAAGTATCATTCTGCTTATTTGCTTTTTTCTGAGTAATATCTGAAGTATACTGGCTATGCTTAACCTTTAATGGTATTAATCAGTTTCTTTTAATGCAGACACAATGGACTTGGGGCCTTTGTTTTGCCTGTTGTCTTGTCAAATCTTGCTTAAGTAATGTGAAAAAAGTTTTTAACGTGGTAAGCGATACGTTGTCAAATAACCAATAGTCCCATGTTTTTATATTTTTCCTTTCTAGGGTTACCGGTACTGGGCTGGAATAGGAGTCCTTCAGAGTTGTGAATCTGCTCTCACTCACTACCGACTTGTAGCTAATCACGGTAAAAACTTTTTACTAGGCTAATGTTCTTGACTTTCTATGTATTTCTATATCATTCACTGAAGAGATAACTAGAAGTACTGCCAGCACTAATAGTATAAAAATAGAGAATTCCTACTATTAAACAAGTTATCTATTTGGCTCTGAATCATGATATGTTATTTTTCTCTCCATTGAAATGTCTTTAATTCTTAGAGAGTGTCCAAGTAATTCATTCTCTCTGCATAACAGTTTGAAGCTCTGTAGAGATCTGTTTTTACTAAGTTGCAGTGTGATATTTGTGTGGAACAAAACTGTCTGGAAACTTACCTGTTTTCTAGTTGCTAGTGATATTTCATTGACTGGTGGCACAGTGGTTCAGCGAATTCGCTTAGCAGATGAAGTAGAAAATCCAGGAATGGCAAGTGGAATGCTAGAAGAAGACTTGATTCAGTATTACCAGTTTTTAGCAGAGAAAGGAGATGTACAAGCACAGGTAAGATTAAGTTCAACTGATGGCATGCAGAGGTTTTCAAGAATTACAGGAACAGCTTTATGAAATATGGAAAGATGTTGGAGCTTTAGTTTTCTCTTCCTTCTAAATCAACCTGGCTGCTATTTCTTGAGTAGTGTTTATGAGAAGAAGCTTATATCTTAGAGTATTTAAGGTAGAAGTTGGACAGAAAATGCAAATTTTTGTGGAAAAGAACTCCAAAGCATAACAACTTTAGTATCTTAGGATAGAGAATATTGGCTTTCACTAGAAACCAGCCAGACTAGTTTAAGGATAGCTTTGGATGTTGTGAAGGAAGCCTTGATGAAAAAAAACTGGCCTTGACAGGGGACCTCAATTTCTCACTGCTTCTGCTCATACATGATTTCTACAGGCTGGACCTCTTCTACACACAGTGCAAGAATGGAGGACACCAATATAGGCAAATTGTCACAATTCAACTTGGTTATATATGACACTAAGAATTAGCTAGACAGAATTCAAATGAACAATTATTATTTTGTATCTAGGACAATCATGTCACTTTTATCTAGGATAAATTTCTGCTTAGATTAATGTGAAAAAAATAGGTCTGTACTGGAGTTACTGAAGCAAATCTGTGCCTTCAGACTTTGTGGCATCTTTAACTCTGATATGGCCTGTCTTTGTGCATGTAATTAGCTCCCTAGTATCTATGTTACTAGAAAAAGAAAGTCCCTAGGGAAAAGTAACTTATTTGCAATGTAAAATTTATTTTTAGGTTGGCCTTGGACAGTTGCACTTGCACGGAGGAAGAGGAGTAGAGCAAAATCATCAGGTACCCTTTCTGTATATTTCTGATGCGTGTTACACTTGGCAGAGCGGAAGAAAGTATAGATGAGACCACAGTGAAGCAAAAGTGTTTAAGTACCACTGTAAGGTATTTAATGACTTCAATAGTCTTGCTCAATAAAACGTAATTCATTCAATAAAACTTAATATTTATGTGACTAGTACATGGAGTTGATTTTCCTACGCAGTTAGTTTAAGACTAATCATCTTGGAAATGAGGAAGTCAAAAATGAAGAGCAGATTTTCATCAAGTAGTACTTGAAACTGGCTGAGCTTTTGTACATGTAGTAGAATCTTCATGATGCACTGTGCATGCATTAGTGATGATAGTCTACTTGGCTTGCAATAATATTTTGCTTCTGTAGAGAAAGCAGTGCACCTTTGAATACTAAGGCTATTAAGTGTGCATAGAAAATAGAACAACTGCTGATGTGAACCAATCTAGCTACTGGTTATATAAGTTAAAATAGCTAACCTCTTCTTAAAGTATGTATTAAAAAAATGGAGAGCTGAGGATGTGAAGTCCTGAGGATTATTTCAGACTCAGCTACCAACCAGAAATTATTTAATGGTCATCACACTTAAAATGACTGCTCTAGGAGGGTTCAGAGATGATATCAAGAGGTCAGAATGAGTATAACCAAGCTCTGTGTAAAACTGGAATAGGAACTGGCAGATCTGTCACCTTCTGAACAGGGTTTGGAGGTACAATAAGGTACTTGCACAAGTAAGACTTACCTGTGTAGCTTGTGCATAGTAGCAGTTGTAGTATCTTTTTTTTTTTTTCTCTGCTTTTTGGAATATACTGTTGAGAGGAATTGCTACTCAATATTCCAATTATAAGTCGGGAACCCTGTTACATAGATTAAGTTAGATGGGTTTGATAACTTATTCTCAGAAGAACCTGTTAAATGGGCAAGCAACCTACTTACCCCTGCTCCATTTGCGAGAAAAGGTACTCAAATCATAGTCATGGTGGCTAAAATACTTGTTTTCTTCCCTGCAGCGAGCATTTGAGTACTTCAATCAAGCAGCTAATGCTGGCAATTCACATGCCATGGCCTTTCTAGGAAAGGTAAGACATGAACACTCTCAAAAGTAAGTAAATTTACTACCTTTCAATGAAAAATAATGAATATTTCCTTCTTGCTGATATCAGGCAGTCTAAAACTTGAATGCCAGAATATAAGTACTTCTGTTTTGCTACTGTTTTGAATTGACCTGCAAGATTTGAGTGTCGTCTATTATGTCTAGTCTAAATTTTCTACGTGCTCCTTCACTTTAGGGACTTTTTTCTAAATAGTGCTTGAACTGGATTTTATTTTTTTTTTTATTTAAATAGTTAAATACCTAAATGTCCTTTTTCTGTGGTAGAGCTCAAAACTCGGAGTGGGCCACTATGCTCTTCCATACAGTGTGTGGGGAAAAGCTAGGCTTCTCAAAATTTTGCCTAGTGGGAAATACTAAGTTCAGGAAGGAAAGGGAAAAGACATCTATTCTTATTCTATGTGGAGAACTGAGGCATCTGAGTCAGAATTGCCAATAGTCTGCATCTACTCTGAACCAAAGCCTGAGTCTATCTGCAAGGCGGACCATTCTATCCGTTTTCTCAGATATAAGTCCTTTTTTTAATCTAAACCATGATTGACAAGCTGCTATTGGTGATATTAATGTGTTACTGCTTAGAAAGGTATTTAGGTCACTTGCCTGAGATCTGGGTTGCAGGCTACCTTCACCCTATGAGGAGCTAAATCCTTATTACTCCATGTGAGTACCCTCTAAGGTTAGGCTGTAATAAGCAGCAGCTCTAGCTCATCTTTGTCAGGCTGTCACTGCAGTAGAGGATGCAAAATTCGTGTCCTTAGAGCATGAAAAAATAGCATAATGGGCTGCTCAGGGCACCTGACAGGAGAAGTTGCAAGTTCCTGCTTTCTCTACTACTTGAGTGTTTTGTATCTAATAAACGCTGAAAGGAGCAGGGTTTAGTAACTAATTTTTGCTTTGTTTTCAAGAAGTATTTGAACTACTAATATAGTTTGACTTCCACTGGTCTCACAAGATTTTTGTCTGATTATGTGTTCTTCGCTACATACTGATAGAACTCAAAAATGAAGGGTGTTTTCATGAAAACTTTTTAATTTTATGGGCAGTTCATTCTCCATTAGAAAGTTAAACCCTCTGAATCAGAATTTTACAGCATAGAGATGTGTTTTCTGCTTCTGAGCAAGTTCTTTAATGACTATTCAGTAATGCAATAGTCAGAATAGTCTAGTAATACAATAAACTCCTTCTCGTATGCAAAGTGAAGATGCTTCGTGATCTCCATGCTAAACTGACTTCAGTAAACTGTTCTTCATTAATGCCTTTCTCCTTCAGATGTACTCAGAAGGAAGTGATGTTGTACCTCAGAGCAACGAAACAGCTCTTCAGTATTTCAAGAAAGCTGCTGATATGGTATGATTATCTGTAAGCTAGAAATACAGCATACGCACTAAAAAGTTCTATTAGCTCGGAAATGCTGCAAGTGCTTCTCTTTGTGCACTTCCATGTGCATACACCTACTCCCAACTTCTGTCCCAAATTAGCCCATAATTAAACCCTGCTTGTCTAAGATGTTGGAAACTGCCACCAGTTCTGGTCATGGTGTTTCATGAAGCTGTGTTCAGCACAAGGAGTCTACCTGTCATGAATGCTGGCATCAGTATGAAATACTGTCCACCTAAATAGACTGCAATTCTGTTAAGTGTTAATTTTCATTAATCTTAGGTTGTCTTGTTGCAGAAATTTAGAGTGCACCAGTACGATGTTACTTTGGTTCTGGTTTGTGGTCAGTGAATAGATAACGATTTTGGCTTTATATCGCTCATCTCATTGCAGTGTTTGGTTTTTGGCCGTTAATCTCTTGCATCTGTCTTTGACCTATCCCTTATGGTCGCATTTGTGTAGTTAATGCATGAGTAATCCTCCAAGAAAGATGTTTAGCATGTGAAAGACAGTAGATGAAATTTTGAAGGGACGGTTGTAAGATAACTGTCTTCATGATTCTTGCATTCCACAATTAGATTGCTGTTCTACACCTCTGTCCTAGAGTAAGGATCTCTCAATTCACTAATTACCTACACTCACTGAAGGTGTCTGATGTGCCCCATTGCCTGTCCTGGCATTGAAGGAATACCATATTTTGCAGGGCCAGTGGTCAGTAATGCAGCCCACAGGACAGCCGTCAATCTACCCTTAAATTAAGACAAATTCTCAGAGTTCCTGTAGTTGTTTTGGGAGCTTCAGTAGCATCCAGAACATCTCAAACTTGGAAAAAACTAAAGATGAATAAGCAATTAATGCCCCACCTTTCTAAGAGTGTGGGTTCTACATCTCGTATGACACTTTGAAAGTGTACAGTAGACTTTCATCACTAGTGTTGAAAGCTTTTCTTTTTCTTGTTAATCACCTGTGTAGTTACTGAATTTATTATTTATTATTTGTTTGGTAACTTTTAAGTTACCAAAGATGCTATTTTCTCCCTAAATAACTACTACTAGGAGCAAAGTTACAAAGCAAATCTATCTTAAGCACTGTTTGTTTTAGTGATGTTAAAGACATACCAAATTTGAAAGACGTAGCTGTAGGTTTTGCCTTTCATTGCAGAAGTGTTTTCCTGTGTTTTCAGGGTAATCCGGTTGGACAGAGTGGATTAGGAATGGCTTACCTCTACGGAAGAGGTGTTCCAGTGGTAAGCTTTTGGCAGTCGTCTTTCTAATCATAGGTGATTGTGTAACTTCTTGTTGTCAACAGACTTTTTCTCTGGAAGGAAGTACTGTAGAAGACTTAATTGTGAAGGTTTCTGTTACACTGAAAACTCCATGAGGAAATCGGTAATATAAAAAAAATTCACTATGGAGTTAGCAGCTGTGAAACATGCTGAGTTCCCTCTAATAAGTTTGAAAATGTTGCTGAAACTATTAGAAATGCGTATAGTGTGAATTTTAGCAGGAGTTTTGAACTTGGCTCTAATTTTCTTGTGAAATAAAACAAATCCTAACTGTCCCCGTTTTGTGTCTCTTATTGAGTGTGAAGGAACACTCTGAAACTTTTAATTAGTTCACTTGCCTTGTTGCTTTTCCCACAGGAAGGTTTCTTGTCAAATGTTTTATATTTAGCTATGCAAACAGATATTCAAAAGTTGAATTAGCCCAAAGTTGAGGAAATAAGTTAAATAATTGTTCTAGAAACAGAACAGGGCATCCGTTCTGTTAAGCATAACTATTCATAGCAATGCTATATGTGGATGCTATCTTTGAAGTAGCTACAGACTTAAGACATGCTAATATTATTGTAGGCTTTTTCATTTTTTGTTTCCAAATTTTGGCCAGGTGAATACTTTTGCACTAGAACATCTCACTGTAATTTTTCTGTGATACAGGTCTGTCCTTACCCATGCACACACGTGTATTTTCTTTCTTTACTTGAATTGTGGTGTATTACAAGGCTCTAATGACTGGACCAAATCTCTCTGCAGAACTACGAGCTAGCACTGAAGTATTTCCAGAAGGCTGCAGAACAAGGATGGGTTGATGGACAACTTCAGCTAGGTTCCATGTATTACAGTAAGTGGTACCAAAATAATGATTTCCTGGGTATAAGCATCTGCTCTTTCTGTAACTGTTCACTAGGTGGCAATAGAAGTGTATATATACTGCATGTAGAGTGGTCTTACTGCATTGAATTTGTTAATTTGTTTTACTCTTTTTTTTTTTTTTTTTCCCCCCCCAACACTTTCACAACGTTTTTCTTTAATAATGTTAAAGAGTAAGTACACACTGTATTTCATACAACTCTGCTTTTCAAAAAGCATGAATAGCGATGGCTTATGCTTTCTTTTAGATGGCATTGGAGTCAAGAGAGACTATAAGCAAGCTTTGAAATATTTTAACTTGGCCTCCCAGGGTGGCCACATTCTGGCCTTTTATAATCTGGCTCAGATGCATGCTACTGGCACTGGAGTGATGCGATCCTGTCATACTGCTGTTGAGGTAAGGTCATCCATTTATAAAGGTCAAATAATACTGACTTGCAAAAGGGTCGATATAACCATGTCAGCTTATACAGGAAATTTGTCTTAGTTAAAATCCACTGGTGACTGCAGAGTGATATATTATCAAACTCCTTTGTACCTCATGAGAAAAATCTTTATTTTTTATGTTGATATGGCAAGTTTGTATTTGCTTTATTAACTTTGAAGAAAATCAAAAGAATGTAATACAAAACAAACTTCAATATTTTATAAGAACAGAATTCATTTAGACATGGGTTTAACTGTAACAGAAAAGCTGACATTAAGAATAATTGTGAGTAAGCATCTGAATCTTGGCATGTATTTGCTTGGTAACCTGTATCTTAAAGTAAGCCTGTCTTAAGCAGTGAGTTCGTCACAAGTTTTTCCTGTGAAATGTAAATACTTTGAACAGGCATTTGAATATTAAAGGTTTGCCTCTTGCAAAACCTAAATTTCTGAAGTTCCTGACAAACCAGTCTTATCCCCCGCCCCCCTTTTTTTTTCTTTCCCTCTGCAGTTGTTCAAGAATGTATGTGAACGGGGGAGGTGGTCTGAAAGACTGATGACTGCCTACAACAGCTATAAAGATGGTGATTCAAATTCTGCTGTCGTTCAGTATCTTCTTCTGGCAGAACAAGGCTATGAAGTTGCACAAAGCAATGCTGCTTTCATACTTGATCAGAGTAAGGACCTGAATTTGTACTGAAAGTTTGGGGGTTTTTTTTTTTGGAGTTGGCCTGCAGTAGCCCATTCAGTAGAATGCTGGAGTACTTTAAGATACAATTACATAGCTGTTGTTCAGATAGAACTTCAGTGAGACTCTTTCCTGCTCTTCACACTGGAAGGCAGGCAGTTTTAATTTTCACCTAAAAGGATAGCTTTTTGGCCTAAAAGTTAGAATACACTTAAATTCTGATTTACGAGATTTAAAAATGGGATAGAAAGAGAATGCTTTAGAAATTTGCACAGTGTTGAAAATTCTCTTCCCTGGACTTCCTAAACACAGCCTTAATATTTTCTTTTTAAATCTTTAAAGTAGGCCTTTGGCCTTTACTATGCATACGAGCTTCAGTTTCTTTTGTTCTTTATCTTGTAATGTCTTTTCTCAGCACTTTTTTTTTTCCTCCAGATTTTTTTGTAACTTTACTTATACTGCTCTTGAAGCAGGGATGAAGACCTGGGCAGTTGGTTCTGTTAGATTTGAAAAAACTTGTCCCAGGTCTCTTACTGCAACGAGTTGGCTAGAACTTGGATTTCTTGGAGTTTGAGGTTACAAGGAAACAATGGAAGTACAAGTGACGAATCTTTCTAGAAACTACAAAACTCAGTATTTTAAACTTTCTGGATCTGAAATCCAGAAGTCTAGGTGTCTCATTACCAGCTTTAGGCCTTTGTATCTTAATATAAAAATCAGCTATTGGTGGCTGATAGGCTAATCTAACATCTTAATTTCAAGTTAGTGTTTTTCAAAGGTGCCTTAATGACTCATCTTTAGATAAGCTACAGCAATGACAATCTTGGCTGGAAGTGCATTCTTGCAAAAAAATAGCATCTTTCCCTGGCTTAAAACTCTGATTGTCATTACTCATATATCTGCATCTCAACTGCAGGTGAATTTAAAATTATTTTATACAGTTTATACAGAAAATCTGTATGTCAGCTGTGAGATAGTATAGCTGAAACCATACTTACACCAGAAGTGAAAAAAGTTACAAATCCTTTGAACTGTCTGAGTTCTGATGCTTCAGCAACCCTCAATTTATGACATCGACAAGTAAAAATAACTTCTGAAGTAGCTGTGGCACTGCTGTGTAAAATATGCAGTTTCTGGCTGGTTAAGGAGTTTAAGCCTTCATTTTACTTGACGAGTCTTGTTTTTTAGATAGTCAAACTAAAATAGCTTATACTTTAGCCTTGTATTTGAGTGCACCTTTGTCAGAGCTCGAATTGTGTGCTCTTAAGACTTGCATCTTCCGGCATTCC